TACTACTACTACTACTGCTACTAGACTATACTACTACAACGACAATTGCTACTATTACGAGTATACTGCTATAGCTACTTACTACGACGACTATTATACTACTGCACGACTACTAGTCGACTACAAGCGCTCAGCATGGCTGTCATGCATGCTGGTTGTACACATGTATGCATACATAATTCAAAAAATGCTACGTGCGATTCCTGTATCTAGAGCTAAGCACATTGTATTCCATCGTGGATGCTATCATGCATGCATATGTGTACATGTGTGTATATATACATATACTACATGTGTGATTTGTGCATATGTATCTAGATCGCGATAATATTATAACCCCAATGCACTGCACCTGCGTGGCCACTGCTGCCACATCCGGGGATGGCCCACTTGACTGATGCCCTGGATCTTCTAGCGAAGTGAGTGACTCTTGGGTACCAGAACCTCGTAGCAGGGCTGAAGCTGAATCCGGAAGCGACTCCTGGGCAACCGAAGTGAGTGACTCTTGGGTACCAGAACCTCGAAGCAGGACTTGGCTGGAAACTGTAAGTGACTCTTGGCTCTCTGGATGAAAAAAAGCTGGATGTGGCACTCGCGGGGCACTACGTCCAAGAAGTTCATACCGAAGCTGTTGTTCGGAATTTGTAACTGACCCCTGAGTATCAGCACGTAAAAGCTGTAGCGAATCCAGACCGACTGCAAGACCTGAATCTGGAAGCTTGTGTTCTGGGACTGAATCTTGAAGCAACTCTCGGGCATTGTGATCTGGGGCTGAATCTTGAAGCGACTCTCGGGGACCAGAACCTCGGTGATCTGGGGCTGAATCTTGAAGCGACTCTCGGGGACCAGAACCTTGGTGATCTGGGGCTGAATCTTGAAGCAAACCTCTGCGACCAGAACCTTGAAGCACGTGATCTGGGGCTGAATCTTGAAGCGACTCTCGGGGACCAGAACCTTGAAGCACGTGATCTGGGGCTGAATCTTGAAGCGACTCAGAACCTTGAAGCACTTCATCTGGGGCTGAATCATGAAGCGACTCTTGGGGGCCAGAACCTCGGTGATCTGGGGCTGAATCCTGAAGCGACTCTTGGGAACCAGAACCTTGAAGCACGTCATCTGGGGCTGAATCTTGAAGCGACTCTTGGGGGCCAGAACCTCGGTGATCTGGGGCTGAATCTCGAAGCGACTCTTGGGGATGAAGCACGTGATCTGGGGCTGAATCCTGAAGCGACTCTGGGGGACCAGATCCTTGAAGCACTTGATCTGGGGCCGACGAAATCCCAGCCGTTGCTTCAGCGGCAAACAGCATCACAGGGCTAAGTGCCACCTCCTTCTCCTTCTCGTGCAGTGCTGTCTGTACTGACCATGCTGCTGCAGCCGTGCTGTCTAGCTGCGACCAGAGCTCCATCTGCTCAGTGAACTGTTCACTCAACAGCCCCGTCAACCTCAGGTGGCTGATCAAAGCATGCACTTTCCCTGCAGCAAACGATGCAGCCTTCGTCGCAGCAAGGTTCAGATCTTTCTTTCGTTTGTCAAGTGCAGCAACTTCCTTGTTCAACCACATATCAGCCATGTTCATTTGCGCTTCGGCTTTGGTTGGATCCGGATCCTTCTCCGCCTTGGCTTTCACCTTTGCCACTGACATCTGTGCAGATGTCAGAACCTTCGCATAGCCTTCGGCAGCGAAATGGTTCCAAGCCCGAGCTTTTTCTTTTGCTTCATGGATCAACCGTGTAGTCACCTGGTACACATGCTGCAGTTTCTCCTCACTTGCAGCATCTCCCTTCATCATTGTTTCGCCATCCAGAAAGCATAAACCATTCAAGACAAACTCCCGGAAAGAGGATGCACCTGGGCCTAGCTTGAGACTGTCGAAAAACAGAGCACGACCCAACTCATCCTTCCCAAGTTCGAGGAAGTCAGCAAGCACAAGGCTGGGAACACAAGGTGAGTCCTGGGACTCTGCTGCTGCCCAGGGCATTGTCGACTGGGTGTCCATGTGCTTGAATGGCTTTCCTCCTTGGCAAATACACTTCCAACACTGCATGCAGACACGTGGACATGCTAAGCTTAGCTTATAATACAACATGCATGTTTCCATATATGTACGTACATGATCGTATAACGTGCGAATCCAGCAGGGAACTGATCATGAGTCATCCAGAGCGACCACTAGCCGTATGGCCATGTCGCGATCACGTACAATTTCTACAAGTAATTGCAAACTATAGGATATAACTATATATCTATATATATGTACATGCATATGTATACACGTGTACAATATAATATATATATATATATACATATCTATATATATATATATATATGTATATTACTGCACACATCATGAATTACATAGCTGGATGAGGGGCAAGGAGAGAGAGACACTACAACACAGCCTAGGCATGAGGTTCGAATATAAACCAGTCTTTAGGACACAAATCAAATAGTAATAACTAACTAATAGCAGTGGTATCCTGGACCTAGGTCGAATACGATTATAATCGTAGTAAGACTGCCTATGTACAGAATCAAGAACATCCCCCCAACCAAAAGAAGCAAGCCTAAGCTGGGAACGGTAGACTAAGCGGGCAGGCTTCGGGCTTCTCCTTTAGAAGCGGACGTTTGGGAGAGGTTCCCCGACATGGAACTTCCCACCGAAGCCCCGCTGTCTTTCCTCACTGGAACCCCATGACCTCTGGTCCTCTTCATAGGAGGGCTCTTGATCGGTGTTCCATGTACTGCTGCAGGCCGTGGCTTCTGCTGCTGCACACATGCGGGCGTTGCTCCAGGTGCCCTTGCTGGAGTCGGAGTACATGCCCTAGAGCGAGTAGGCCCGCCTAGCAAGGTACCACATATATATATATATATATATATATTATAATAGCACTTATATGCTAAAGCTAAACCCGTGGGGCCCAGACTATATATATATATATTATAATAATAATAGTAATATATATATATATATATATATATAGATATCTCATGATCACGCTAATCCCATGGGGCCTAGACTATTGTAGCATATATAGCTGAAAATTACATATAATTATAACTGTAATGTAGAACCACCGGTACCCGGCCATCGCCTGTCCCCAAAGCCGCATTGACCTCCTCATCCACACTCAGGTCTGCACCAGATAGGCTTCTGGCTGGAGCCTGGGCAGATATTCGGTTCTCGATTGCAATTGTAGTGCATAAACCCTAAACCCCTAAACCCTTAACCCTATATAGTGCAGAATAATATGACCAAGAAACCTTCGCCGGCTTCGGATTCTTCGCAGGATAGGGCTCGATCCGAGCATTTTTGCTTAGGCTCGGCATCACTAGCGACCTAAAAGCTGCCAACAGCCAGAGCACTCTGGCTTTACAGAAAAACCTGTCCCTGAAGGGTTTAAGCCCAACGGCAGCCAGCTCGGGTGTTACGGCAAGTTACAGCAAGTTACGGCAAGTTACGGCAAGTTACGCCTAGTTACGGTTACAAACACAAAGGTCTTCCCCGGGAGGTTTTTCATCACTAAAACCTTCCCTGATATGGTTTTTTGCATTGTAAAGTTACGGCCAAGTTACGGCAAGTTACGCTCATTTACGCTTAAACTTGTAAAACCTTAGCTGATGATGCTTCAGGACCTATAATATACTTAATGCTTTATAATGGTTTTTCCTAGGCCGGTTGCTTTACAGCTGCAAGTACTCGTACATGGTATAATTGGAGGACCCAAACACCTACAAAGTAGGGACACTCTGGGTTGGCGGATGCTCTGCAAGCGGTGCAACAACATCCGGATGCGAGGTGAGCTGCAGCACACCCTATTTTCTGGCCTGTTCGCACACCAGGACTCTAGCTGCTCCTCTTCAGAATCTTCCCAGAACATTTGCAGCCCATCATCGAAAGCTTCCACACCTTAGATCGGTACCCTTGCCTTAAGGACCCTAACCCCAACCATAATCTTAACTCAGCCCTAACCCTAATCCCAACCCGAACCCCACCCCAAACCTTAATCCCAGCTTAACCATAACTATAATCCGAACCCCAACTCCGAGCCTCACCAACCCTATGCCAACCCGAACCTTAACCCCGAACCCGAGTCCTGATTGCATTCCGAACCCCGAACCTTGACCCCGACCCCAACCCTAACCCTAACACCAACCCTAACCCTAACCCCAACCCTAACCCTAAACCCAACCCTAACACTCAGCCCAACCCTAACCCTAACACCAACCCTTACCCCGACCCTAAGCCAAACCCCAACCCTAACACCAGCCCTAACCCAGAACCCTAGCCCCACCCTAACCCTGACCCCAACCCTAACCCGAGCACCAACCCTAACCCTAACCCCAACCCTAACCCTAACCCCAACCCTAACCCTAACACCAGCCCTAGCCCAGTCTTTACCAGACAGGTTGGGGGTAGGTTTCGGGGTTGGGATGGAAGTTAGGGTCCGGATTCAGGTCGGGCTTAGGGTTCGGGTTGGGAATTGCAACTACAGGCACTGTCAACAGCACTTGGTTCTGTGGCATTGGGCTTCAGTGTTTATGATCAGAAGTCTGCACCCGTTTGTGCCTCTAAGCTAGTAAGCCCATTTCTTTACCAGACAGGTTGGGGGTAGGTTTCGGGGTTGGGATGGAAGTTAGGGTCCGGATTCAGGTCGGGGTTAGGGTTCGGGTTGGGAATTGCAGCTACAGGCACTGTCAACAGCACTTGGTTCTGTGGCATTGGGCTTCAGTGTTTATGATCAGAAGTCTGCACCCGCTTGTGCCTCTAATGGGTGCCTGTTTATAAGGATTAATTGCATATGTTCTGGATAAAGCTATAATATTATTATTATATATATATATATATATTTATTTATTTATTTACTTATAAATTTATCTAGTTATATTACTTATATATTATATTTAAACCCAACGATCCTAAACACAAACCCACAAAGCTGTAATCAGCAATAAACCAAGAGCCAAAACTCCACGAGGCGTCCACCAGCTGTCGGACATTGGCACCTGCGAAGCTGGGCAATTTTCGATGCAGGCTTTTCGGAGATTAGTTATTATGATATTGAATACGTAAGAAATAATCGCCTATATGCTAAGGGTCGAAAGGACCTAAGACTTATGTTATAGGTTCGGATATGGTATCATATAGGGTCTTATAGGGACTTCTAGTAACATGAAATTAAAAGCCAGCTAGTACCATTCGTTAGCATTGCTAGGGTTTCGCCGGTCTAACTTGCACTTGGAGTTGAAGCTTTAAGGCTTTAGGTTTAGGGCCAGGTTGGGTATTGCAGGGTATAGTATATAGCTATAGGGTGGCCTCATGGATCAGGATTTAGGGTTACTTGCAGTTGTGGCCCTTACCGTTTAAATGTAGACAAACAGTCTGGGTGTCGAGATCAGACGAGATTGTCGACTATCGGATCTCTAGCTAGCCTATAGACCCTACATACAAATTCGTAGCTCTAGATGTAGGGGAGGGGAAGGGGGAGGTCTGCATGGCTTCATCTTCGAAGCTTCAAGATCAGGCGCCAGCAGTGGCACACTTCTCCGCAACCGCGGTATCTGCTCAGCCCCTATGCAGTCGGCTGGATCGGAGGCGTAGACTGTGAAAACGACGTCGACGGAGAAATGCGATATATAGTGCGATAGCGATGGGCTGTCTCGCGTGTCAGCCCAAAGCTGGCTCGGCCCGATATACTCTGCCAGCTTGGTCAACCCAGTCCAGTCACACTCGTGGCGATCAACCTACCTATGCACTCCTACCTATGCCACCTACCTACCCACCTACCCACCTACCTGCCTACTCCCATCTTTACTTCTTACCAACCAACCAAACCACCCACCAACCTACCAACCTCCTAGCAACCTACCAACCTACCAACCAACCTAACCTACTTACCTACATGCCTACCCACCTACCTACCTGCTAGTCGACACCCACCCACCTACTACTAACCCACCTACCTACCCACCCACCGACCAACCCACCACCCACCTACCGACCTACAAGCCAGCCACCCGACCCACCCCTCCCTACCCTTCCCTACCCGACCCTACCCTACCCGACCGACCCACCCACCGACCTACCCACCCTGCCTACCTCCTACCTACCTAACCTACCTACCCACCTGCCTACCTAACCCACCTACCTACCCGACCTACCTACCTACCTACCCCACCCTACCTACCTACCTACCTACCTATTTACCACTCTACCTACCTACCTACCTACCTACCTACCTACCTACCTACCTACCTACCTACCTACCTACCTACCTACCTACCTACCTACCCGACCCGACCC